GCAATTAAAACCGCTTCCCTGGACTTATCCCAAGCAAAGACTACAATTTAAAGGTATGCGACCCAAACTCTGGATTTAAGGAAACTGTTCTTCCCCAACGCTCCCCAATCCTGGATACCAACGACTGGCATTTGGTGAAACTAATGAGAATGGCCTCTGAAGGTACGAAGAAATTAAACAATTCATTTGCAGTTGCCTGGTTTTTAATACACAGAGGCGCAAACAAAAGGAAATCCCAGTGTCTTTATTATGGAAAACCATCAACTGGGTGTGGGAGAGTAGGTTGGAAGGTAAGAGGAAACCCCAGTCCAGTCCTAGGGCTCTCTTCCGGGCTGACCCCACAAAGGAAGGTCTCAAACTTCTATTCCCTTTCCTCCCAACCTCCATATTGTGGATAAAGGTTTGTCCTTGGGGATGAGTAACAAAACTAGGTTTATTTGTAATGAAGGCCAAAGATCAAGCCAGGGGGCCTAAAGTAAGGGTCCTTTGTGGGAAAATTTTAAGTGCAGACTCTGTACCCCGGCATCTTGTTAGGGATTAACCTACTGTAAGTAGTCTGTAAGTCCAGTAAGGAATACTGAAAAACAACATGGTGGAGATGTGTGAGTGGAGGGCAGCACTCCAAGCTTGGAGGGGAAGCATTTCCTCTTCCATTACATGAGATCTCTCCCTTCCTCCAGTGAAATAGTTGGCCCCAGGCGTGGTTCCTGGAGTGTGCCTGTCAATTCCCTGGATGCCTCTTTAAAATCGGAAGCACCACCCTGCACCACCCAGGCACAGCCAAACAGGGAAAACATAAATAAAAGGCGAAGCCTCACTCAGGCAAGGCTGTGGTTACAGAAGGGGCGGGGCTTCAAAGGTGCCTAGGATTGACCAGAAGGAAGCACTAAGAGGCAGGAAACCTATTTGTCCTTCTTGCTTTCCCCATTTGGCACTGCTGTGGCGGTTGGGGCCACAGACTGCTCCTCGGGAATATTATCCCCAGTCTTCCATTGCTTCTTGGACCGCTGATACAGTTCATTCAAGCTGAATTCTCGGATCACATTCTCCTGCACAAAAAAGATGCAGAGGTCAGGGTTGCGGGGGAGAGTTCAGCGTCTGGGAAATAAGTATTTAGGCACAGTTTAGGAAAAGAGGAAGCAAAGCACAGAAATTTACTCTAATCTAAATCTCTTTTATGGGTACCTAGAAGTCAACTAATACTTAAGCACCTATTATATGCCAATCACTGTGCCAAGAATTATAGCTACATAATAATGTAATCTGCAAAACAACCCCATGAGCCAGGTATTACTGTCTCCAATTTACTGCTAAGGAACCTAGGGGCTACAGACTATAGATACAGGTCCTTTAAGACTGAATCTTAACTAATAATTTCCCAGTACTAGCAGGAGAAGCATAATATAAATTTGCTGAGTGAATTCATGCATGAGCTCGAATAACTAGTCCACATTGTGGGTAAGTGGAAGAGCTAGGAATCAAACCCAGGTTGGGTTTCAAAGACCACCTACTGTCCCATATGCTTCTCCAAACCACTTGCCCACTCTTTGCTGTACCTCAGAGAAAGTCCAAGAGACAGCTCGTCCTTTCTTATCAATCTGTGGCCGCCGCATGACTTCCTTGCCACCTTGGAACAGGATCAGGGTAGGAAGCTGCTTGGTGAGGGGGGATGTGCTCACTTTGTACCTACAGGACCCAGAAAGTACTCTGTAAACGCATGTATATACATCGCTCGAAGTGATTCCCTGTTTACACCTTCAACCCAGACCTTCACATACCGTTTACTAACATCAGTGTAGCGTCCAACGTCCACCTTCCCAAAATTTAGCCCTGTACAGTTGTACCTGAGAAGGATATATTATTTAACATAGTGTAAGAAGAAAGAATGGATCACGGGAAGTTGAAGTACAGCTATTGGAGGAGATGCCTTGGTTGCAATGTACAAAAATTAAGGTCAAAAAACAATGAGAGGGAAGGTACAGCCTCTCAATTCCCATCATCCCTCCCTTTGCACCACTCACTTGAGGGAAAGGTCAGCGTAGATTGGAGCAAATGATTGGCAGTCATTAGACCAATTGGCAAAGAACTCCACAATCCAAGTGACCCTCTTGTCCCGCTCCAGCTCTTCCTGCCACACACAGGGGAGAAACAGTGAGCTGGATCACACAGGCTCCTGGAAAGGTTCAGACCTTAGCGTCTTAATTCCTCATCAGGGCTTCCCCTCTCTGCCTCCCTTAGCTCCCATGATGAACCAAGTATCCTTGACTTCCATTCTGAAGCACAGTTGCTCCTCCTAGTGAATAGGGTGCACAACTACAAATTTACCCACAATAGACCCAAGAAATGGGAGGGAGGATGATCACTCACATCAATGGTTTTATCGTTGAAGTACTTGATGTACTCAGGGCCCATGTACAGCGGAGGCTTGCATGTCATCAGGAACACTAAACACAGAAAAAGAAGTATGTTGAAGGAAACAAACAAGGCCTTGGGCAAGGATTTACTTTCAAACCAAATCAAAGACTTCAAGCACCAAAGAACACACTTTGTGGACATATATAGACCACTGACACATTCCCTTCCTCTTAAAGTCTCTAGATTCATACCGTCTGAGCTACACACATAATTAGGAACAGGTATGGAAGAAGACTATGGAGAAACTGGTTTGGATTTGGTTCCAACCAAGTCTTGTAGTCTCCTTACCTATGCAGAGTGTGATGTAAAGCAGGCCCATGCGAATATCCAGGCGGAAGAAAAGAATTGCATTGGCCACTTTACTGAACATGAAGATGTTGCCTATATGTTGCTCCACAGTGACTGAAACACAAAGATGTCGCGGGTCAGGCTAGGCAGCAAGCTCCTATATCCCATCCTTGGTCCCTCTTCCTGGAATACTTTGAAATGGGAGAGTGGGGGAGGGGGATAAAAGTCCAAGATCAAATTCAGTGTTGGCATGGAATGAGGGACTGGTACAGTAAGTAATGCCTCTCTCATAACATGAATGAAAACACCTCCGAAGGGCTTTAGGCCTCCCCTTGGGAGACAGAGAAACGCTAGACTTACTGGACCTGCGGTTCTTCATCATCACGATGGCACTGAGGAACATCAGGATCTCTATTTCTCTCTGCAACAGAATCAGAGTGGCAGACATGCCATCAGCAGAGATAATCTGGGTGGGTAAAGGCGCCAATGTGGAACAAAACCCAACAGAGATCCAAAAAGGGAATAACAATAAATAACTACGCTAAGGTGTAGTGGGAAAAACACCAGTCAGAAGATCTAGGTTCAAGTTCTAACCCTGCCACAAACTGGCTGGTGCCTTTCAGCATATCAACTGCTGAGCTTTGGTTTCCTCCACTGAACAATGTCTATCTCAAAATGCTATTATAAAGATTAAATGATAATGGATATAAAACAGTTGTATAAAGTATAACATGGAATAAAACTGTGAGAAATTACAACCAATTCTGTGATTCTGGGAAAACGAAACTTTTCCGGGAAGACTTTCTTGTAATATTACATTCATACAGTATATGGTTATTTACTTTATTTCAGAGCTCCCAAGGCCCTTTTCAGTATCCTTGTCTTATGGGTCTTTCTCACATTCTAGAAAGTGATGGCAAACCTGACACGCGTGTCAGAGGTGACACGTGAATTCATTTTTTTGGTTATTTTTCTTTGTTAAATAGTATTTAAATATATAAAATAAATATAAAAAATATAAATCTTTGTTTTACTATGGTTGCAAATATCAAAAAATTTCTATATGTGACACGGCACCAGAGTTAAGTTAGGGTTTTTCAAAATGCTGACACGCCGAGCTCAAAAGGTTCGCCATCACTGTTCTAGAATGTAAGCGCCAAGTGAGCAAAGTGAGAAAGACAATAAACATGACAAAGAAATAAGTAATTTGAAAGAGTAAATAACTGCAATGAGGAATAACAATGACCATGTGAAAGAGAGCATTAGAGGAGGGCAACTATAAATTAGATGATCTGAGGCCTTTCATACCTTTCTGTTTAACTTTCTGTTTATAATGCAGGGGGCAAATCAATGTCAGACAGAACCAATCAACTGTGATTTACAGCTGGAAGTCAGAGACTTACATTTTTAGCCTCAATTTCCAACAAAAAGTAACTTACTGGATTTAGAAATGGCAATGTAAAGTGGAAGTTAGGGAAGATGATAGACCTTACTACATATACCTGAGCAGAAATGAGGAAGAGTTGACCTAACCCGTTTGGCTCAGTGGATAGAGCATTGGCCTGCGGACTCAAGGGTCCCAGGTTCGATTCCCGTCAAGGGCATGTACCTTGGCTGTGGGCACATCCCCAGTAGGGGGCGTGCAGGAGGCAGCTGATCGATGTTTCTCTCTCATCTAACTCTCTATCCCTCTCCCTTCCTCTCTGTAAAAAATCAATAAAAATATATATATTTTTTTTTTAAAAAAAAGAAATGAGGAAGTTTTCCCAAATGAAATTGGGTTAGCCCAGTGGTCGGCAAACTGCGGCTCGCGAGCCACATGCAGCTCTTTGGCCCCTTCAGTGTGGCTCTTCCACAAAATACCGACTTCTGCGCATGGGCCACGAAGTTTCAATCGCACTATAGGTGCGCACCTGCACGTGGTATTTTGTGGAAGAGCCACACTCAAGCAGGAGGCAAGACTATCTCCTTACATCAAGGTAGGACTGTGTGACTAGCACTCCTGAATGGAATGTGAGTGGAAGTGATGTGTCCCTGTTGCACACAGGCAGTAAGAAAGGGTGTGTCCTTGCATTCTAGGTCTCTTTCTTCATCTGCTGGCTGGATGATCCGGGGATGACCTTAAGTCCATAAATTGAAGAAAGTATGAGACTGGATTCCAGACTAACTACATGAAGCAGAGCCCTTTTGATTGTTCTGCTTGTTTGCTCATTGTTTTTAAACTTTTTTTATTATGGACATTTTCAAACATACACATAAGTTGAGAGGATACTGAATGGTAGCAGAATATGACAGCCCAAAATATGCCACTTTGGCTGAAGGATTCTTTTGAGCCTAAAGGCAATTGAGAACTAAATACTAAAAAAAGCCCAACCCATTTATCTAAAAGCAAGTCATAAAGTTTCAAAGGTGTCCCTCTAACCCAGTGGTTCTCAATCTTCCTAATGCTGCGACCCTTTAATACAGTTCCTCATGTTGTGGTGACCTCCAACCATAAAATATTTTCGATGCTACTTCATAACTGTAACTTTGCTACTGTTATGAATCGTCATGTAAATATCTGATGTGCTATATGTGTTTTCCGATGGTCGCTGAGAACCGCTGCAACCCACTCTACCAGGAAGGACAAAAAGTTAATCAAGGGAGATAACCTTAATCCCTATTAGCTTGAAGACAGCACCAGAGGAATCTATATAACAAACTAGACTTTATATACCACTAGTTTATCTTCCTATAGTTAGTCGCCTCTGGAAGCCTAAAAGTTCTGTATCTAGTCATTTCTCCACAATTTTACTGTTCTTTGTTAAAGACACTATAAGCCAGAGTTTTAAGCCACCTCTTTAGTAAAATCTTTAGTAATATCCGTTATATTTTTTAGTCCCATTTTGGTGAAAGTAATATAGGATTATCAGATAAAAATAGGATCTTTTGAAGTAGCATGGCTACCCTTAAGCTAATTACTAGATGGTCTGGGAAAGGACAAAGGAAATATTAAAGAGTAAACAAGGGATGGAGGATAAAAGTAAGGGAGTGGGCTCTGCTAAAGGTCAAGACTCGTTTTTTGGAAAAAAGATCAAAACTCGCCCTAACCGGTTTGGCTCAGTGGATAGAGGGTTGGCGGCGGACTGAAGGGTCCCGGGTTCGATTCCGGTCAAGGGCATGTACCCGGGTTGTGGGCACATCCCCAGTGGGGGGCGTGCAGGAGGCAGCTGATCTATGTTTCTTTATCATCTATGTTTCTAACTCTCTATCCCTCTCCCTTCCTCTCTGTAAAAAATCAATAAAATATATTTTTTAAAAAAAAAAAGATCAAAACTCAGGATGGCCCTCCTTCCTCAGAAACAGATGCTGCGATACAGCAGAGGGCCCAGACCAGCGTCTGTCTGGGTGCTCCCTGCACCCCTACTCAGGAAGTCAAGAGCAAGAGGCGTGGGAAAGATTTCTCTTCGATGTGTTTTTTACAATTCCTTTTCGACTGGTGTAACCACTGTATTCATTTCTGCATCCTCCGAATGCAGCACAGTTCCTAGCACATGGTGTGCCTTGAGAAGCGGGTGGTAGGAGTATGAAGGTAATACGGCCAGGAGCATGGTTTCAAGTCCTAACCGTGTGACCTTGGACAAGCAGCCTCATCACGCCGAGATCAACTTCCCCACCGGTAGAACGGGAGCACGACTACTTGTGTATCTCAAAGGCTCCGTGAGAGGCTTACAGGTGAGCAGCACTGTGGGTGGCTGCACTCACGTACGCAGAGCTGGGGTCTGGCTGTCGTGCAGGCTAGCCGTTTTTACCGTCTTCATCAAACACCAAGAGGTTTAGACTCGATTACGGCCCAGGCCCTATACGTTAATGGTAAGCCCGCTACAGTCGCGGAATCTCGAATGCAACCACAGAGAAAGGGACCGTCAAGGTCGCGGGGTCCTGACTAAGGCGGGGGTCGCTCACCCAGTCAAAGTCACACGGGTTGCCGTCTTCGCGTTGCGTGGGGAGAGTGTGACAGAGCGGGGGCAGCTTCCTCACGAGTAGGAAGGCAGCAGAGAGCAGGGCTGAAAGAAGGTAGTAAGGTCGGGCCAGCCATCGTGAAAGGCGCGGCACCGAATACACCAATGCAATCAAAGGTGCCAGGACCGCCATCTTCTTGGCCGGCGGCGCAGGCCGCTATCGGGTGTCCGTAGGCCTGGCCCCGCCTCTTCCACCATTGAGACGCCCAGTGGGCCGAGTCGTGGATGCACCGCCTCTGGACCCAAAAGTCGATTTCTGATTGGACGCTACGGTACGCACTGAAAAAAGGTATTTGATACTTTATTGGTCAATCTAGCTGTCGCTTTTCCATCTAAGTCATTTTATTGGATATGCGACTAGAATAAAGTTAGCTAGTAATTCCTGTACGTACTCACAAAGCGACGGAAGTAGTTGCCGGAATGAGGTAGGCGGGCCCCGAGGCATCCAATGATCAGTGGCTCATGGAGGAAGAGGACGGTACGCCGGAAAAGGATTGTCCAATGAAAACCACTAGCGCCAGACACCAGGACAGCGCTGGGGCAGAAGGAAAGATGGAGAATTTCACGGCGCTGTTCGGAGCTCAGGCTGACCCACCCCCGCCCCCAACCGCACTCGGCTTCGGACCAGGAAAACCTCCACCCCCGCCTCCTCCTCCTCCAGGCGGGGGGCCCGGCCCGGCTCCGCCCCCGACCGCGGCCACGGCCCCGCCCGGTGCTGACAAGTCAGCAGCTGGTTGCGGTCCCTTCTACCTAATGCGGGAACTGCCAGGTGAGTGCTAGGCCTGGCCAAAGTCAGCCAATCAGGTCATAATGAGGGGGTGATGGGCGTGATTGTTAACTGGGTGGTGAAGGTGCCAGGTAACCTAGGCAACTCGTGCCAGACCCAGGAGCTCTAAGTTGAAAGGCCTCCGTGTAACAAGTTTGAGGAGATGGAATCAAGAGTCATTTTGAACATGGTTCCAAAATTCCTTTTAGTTCATCCCAAGTTCTGCTACATCAAGAATTAAGGGAAATAATAATGGCTATTGGTACAGTAATTTGAAGTTTATAACGCAGTTCTATATGTGTAACATAATATATAGAATAGCCCCCTGAGGTAGGCATTGTTATCTACATTTTATAGTTGAAAAAACTAAAGCACAGAGAGGCTGAAGCATAGAACTTTCCTTTGGTTAGTTATTGGTTGGTGTCTACCACTAACCTTACCTATTCTGACTTTACCTATCAGTTGACAGATAATTGAATATATGTTTTGTGCAAATGTTGAGTGTGTAGGTAGAAGGGGGAAGGACATATGATGAGAAGAGGAACAAGATTAATAAGTCTGGTCCATATTTTTAAGAAGCTTGTTTTACTTAGGGATGCAAAGTATGTAGTTTAAGGAAAGTGACCATATTTCTTATCAAGGCCAATCTCATTATTTGGTGGTCATGCCTCACAATTAAGAACTACGTGGTGGTTTTCAAAATATTATCCAAAATCAGAGCAAGAAGAAGTTGTCACTTGAGCTAGACCTTGATGAATTTATATTGGTGAACAATATTAGGAAGACTTTTCCTATAATTAGGTTAGTTTTCCTAAAAGGAAACACTATGAGGGGTGTTTTTTGTTTTTTTCAGGACATTAGGAGACCCATTTGGATGGATCAGAAATTTTGCATAGGGGACTAAAGGTTGACTAGATCCCAAAGCTAAGTTATAGTAAAATGTGTTTAACCATGAGTGCCAAAGGAATTTTGAGGTCTTTCCTGAGGGCTATAGGAAATCATTGAAGGTTTTGTGTGTTTTTTTAACTGATGAGTACTGCTTCTAAAAATATCTAGAGAATGGGAGGTACCATGTATTGTGGCTGGGTAGCTCAATTGGTTAGAACATTATCCTCATATGCCAAGGTTCAATCCTCAGTAGGGGAACATACAAAATTAAACCAATGAATACATAAATAAGTCGAACAACAAATATCTCTTTCTTTCTCTGTTTCATCACCCCCACCCCCAATGTCTCTCTCGTAAAATCAACCAATAAATAAAAAGCCATAGTATCTACACAGAATTGACTAAGTCACAGAGGTGAGGGACATCCGGCCCATGGGCCATTGTAAGGCCCGTGAAATCATTTGGTCTAGCTCTGACAAGGCATGAGGGGTGAGTTAACTAAATGTTTGATCAAATATAGCAGGCTAATTTTTAAGTGATAATTTGGTATGGCCCAAGAATGATGTTATAAATATCTAAATGGCCCTTGGCAGAAAAAACGTTCCCCACCCCTGGACTAAGAGGAAATTGGAAGTGCAAGATTAGTTTTCAGGAGAGGAGTCAGGGCTGGGGAGAGAGATTTTAAATCATCTTCATAGAACTGACGGTCAGAAAGTTGGAATGACTCTTAAGTTAAAGCTCAGAAGAGGTAGAGTGTCTTCTCACCTGAGTCTTGAGCATAACCACCTGGAAGGAGGAGAGTCAACAGAAAGGGGATAAAATCAGAATAGTATAATGGCCAGAGGCAATGCCGAGTTTGAGGAGAGGTACTCTGGCACTGTGTCTCCTACCATTAATAGTGTGTGTTTTTATTTTTGTTGATGAGAGAGGGGGAGGGAGAAACACCGATTTGCTGTTCCACTTTTTATGTATGTGCCCCGACCAGAGATTGAACACACAACCTTGGTATATGGGGACGACACTCCAACCAATTGAGCTACTTGGACAGGGCTGCTCTCTTTCTTATCAATGGATTGTGCCAATATCTTAAATACACTGATTTTTTTTTACACGGTTTAAACGAACACATACTGAAAAGTATAAAGTGTTATATAAATGTAAGGCATTATCAGTATAAATATTGTGTGGCTGACTTAAAAACATCTTCTTGCCCTAACCGGTTTAGCTCAGTGGATAGAGCGTCGGCCTGCGGACTGAAGGGTCCCAGGTTCGATTCCGGCCAAGGGCACGTACCTTGGTTGCAGGCACATCCCCAGGGGGGGTTGTGCAGGAGGCAGCTCATCAATGTTTCCCTCTCATCAATGTTTCTAACTCTCTATCCCTCTCCCTTCCTCTCTGTAAAAAGTCAATAAAATACATTAAAAAAAACTTATTCTCCCTGCATTCTCTAGGCAGCACGGAGCTGACTGGCAGCACCAACCTGATCACACACTACAACCTCGAACATGCCTATAATAAATTCTGTGGGAAGAAAGTGAAGGAGAAGCTGAGTAACTTCCTGCCTGACCTGCCTGGAATGATTGATCTGCCAGGTTCCCATGATAACAGCAGCCTTCGCTCCCTCATTGAGAAGCCCCCTATTCTTGGGGGCTCTTTTAATCCTATCACAGGGACCATGCTGGCTGGATTCCGCCTCCACACTGGCCCAGTGAGTCCCCTCTTGGGGAGGAAGGAGGCAAATGGGGAGGTCTGAAAGGCATGGAGGCAGTTTTTCTGTCCAAGTCTGTTCCTTCCTAACTTACTGAGCAGAACAATGGGGAGCAGGGGCTTTGCTCCCTCCACTCACCCAGACCTTTCTTTGGTTCCTCCAGTTGCCAGAGCAATGTCGTCTGATGCATATTCAGCCTCCCAAGAAAAAGAATAAGCACAAGCACAAACAGAGCCGTACCCAGGATCCTGTTCCCCCAGGTAAGCAGCAGTTCTATTCAAAGCCAGAAACCTGATGTTCTGGATCTGCTTCACCCATCCTCAGTAAAAAAAAAAAGCAAGGAAGTTCCTTACGGAGTCCTGGACTCCCAAATTCTCCTGATAAAGAAGTTGATGTTCTGGGGTCTCCTGGGCAAATAGGACCTTGGGACAGGGACCTTCGCAGTGCCTCCATATCCTCTCTGGCCATTTGAACAAAAGCAGTTGCCCTTGACTAGGGGTTGGGTTTCCCTATAATCTGCAGAGTTCTAGCAGGAGGGGATTTTGAGCTCTACGTTTGATAGGCACCTAATGTCTCCAACAGAAACGCCATCTGACTCAGATCACAAGAAAAAGAAAAAGAAAAAAGAAGAGGATCCTGAACGGAAAAGGAAGAAGAAAGAGAAGAAGAAAAAGAAGGTAAAATAGGGGCCTGTTGCTGTAGCCCAGTGAGTTCCCTTATGTCTCACCCCTATACTAGGTAGAGTCCTTGGCTGCAGGTTGGACCCAACATTGTTTTCCCATCCACTCCTGGTCAATGCCAAGGCTACTTCCTAGTTGTTCTTGTGTTCCTGCTTTGTCTTCCCCAGAACCGACACAGTCCAGACCACCCAGGTATTGCCAGTTCTCAGGCCAGCAGCAGCAGCAGCCTCCGCTAACAAGACAACTGGATTCTGCCATAATGACTTTCCCTGCTGTACTGAACCTGCTGTCAAAAGCTGCCTTCCTGGCTCTTGGACACTGCCTTAGGAGCATCTCCAGTGGCTGGATTAGAAGCAGTCCTACTGTGCTCATAAGAGGAATGCATTATGAGAGAGAAGGGCCATGCTTTTGTAAGGCTCAGACCAGCTTTCTCATGGACATCTCTTCCTCTCCCAAGGAAGCTTTCTTTTCATCTCTTTTGTGCAGTTGTCTGATTTAGGACCTTATCTGATTTGTTAGGCTTTTTCTTTAAAAAAAAAAAAAATTGCATTTATCAAACTGGCTGAAGTATGACTGCCTATTAAGAGGTAAGTGCCTTTCTGTGAGAGTCAGTTGAAGCCACGGCATGCTAAGATCTGGGGGGATTTGGGCCTTGTATTATATTATCAGTAGGCAGGGAACCAACCAAAATGAAATTGGGGAACATGGTCCAAAAGTTAGGAAGAGTTTGTTAGTACCTTTCCACAGACAAATAGCACCTTGCCCATAGCAAGGTGCTTCATACTCCATCTGAAGAGTTGATCCAGTTAGGGCTTGACTGTATTCTAGGTCAATTTTGTGTTGAAACAGAATAGCCAACCAAAAAAGCACCTACAGTCAATCACCACTGTACTTCAACAAGTTGATTCTTGGTCAAGCCCATGATTTTTTTGAAGTGAATATCTGGCAAGCAAAGGTAAATGCTTCTCTTATCTTTATACTAGTAGTAAGAACTTTGGAACTGCCTCATTCCTTAGTTAAGACAAAGTATTTGGCTGATGTGAAAACATTTCTAAGCTTCTAAGACATCAACAAAAGGCAGCCTAAACTAACAAAATGTAAAGTTAAGTCCCTTTGGTCTTTGCAGGCCAAATAACTGAAAAAAATCTGAGAAAACCCAGGCTAATGTAATCAGACTAGAAGTTAAATTGGCAGAACAGTTAAAATATATTGCTACCAGCCTCTAGATTATAGAGGGAAAACCACTCATTCATTTAGCTCTAATTTTACAGTAGGATTTCAGAGTTCATATACTTGTTATAAATAGTGAAAACAAAGGGTTCTAGCCAGTTTCCTGAGATTAAGTGTCCAAGGGTGCCTATTAAAATTAGGGCACAGCCTTTTGCTTTTGCAAATAGAAGACAAAAATAGGAGATATCAAATTGAACTGCCACCCATATATACAGTTGGCCTTTAAGAGGGCTTTCATATTTTGATCATTCAGTCTTCCCTTTGGCTACATCCAAAATGAACTTTACTTTTCAGAGACAATTCTGTATTAAGAAACAAGTGTGGCACAAGTCAAGAGTTCTCTAAGCTTCGAAATGACAGGCTTTAGTAGTTGCAAATGATTTCCCATTCCCAGGAATTTTGGGGATTAAATCACTGGGGAAAAAACACCAGGACCTGTTGTCTTAAGTGGTTATTTTCACTACAGTCCTATCTAAAGATGGGTCAGGACCAGGGAAACTTCTGAGGCTTTCTTTATGACTCTCCACCAGAAACCATTCACCCTGCCTTAACCAGACAAAATAACACAAGTCAGGGGGGAGCTGGTTAGATCAGGATTTCTTTTTATTCCTTGTTGGTTTAAAATGGCTAATCAGAATAAAAAATAAAATGGCCTCTATCTAGAGGCTGGGGTCTCCCCTGTTTAGAGGTTAGAACCCAGGTATCTCCTCTACCCAGCACCATACTGAGGTGGGCTGAGGGGTACCTCTCAAGGGACAATTGGAGGGGCTTAGGCCTTCCACTCCTCCTCTCTATCCCATTTTTGGCATGTGATGAAAAATATTGCTTTTTGGATTCTTCTCTCCTAGCCTTGGATTTAAAAATGTTAGTAACTGTGTGTGAAATGGGGGAAGGATTTGAGGGGCTAGTTGAAGAAGCCCACCCTAATCCTTCCATCCCAAAAAGGGGATTATCCAGTTGTTTCTGGAGCTTGGCCAAGCTCTTTTCCTGATCTCTCCTCCACCAAAAACATCATGGGGCTGTGACCCCTTTCCTGGGAAAACTAAGTGCCAGTGAGCCCTGAAAACTCTACCCTCTCCTCTGACCAAGACTTCAGACTCGCCTCTCTCCAGTTCCTTTCCTGATCACTAAGCACCGACAACAGGGGGTGCTATTTTCTTAATTGGTAATGGACAAAAGAGAGAACCCTGGGGCAAAGGAAGACTTCTATTCACATCTTTCCTCTTCTCCTGCTGGTCCCAGGAATGGGAAGAGTAAGATCCCCCTCTTAAACATCCCTCCCTCATTTTCCCATCCCAGGATAGATATATAATTTCTTTGATATTTATAATATATATATATGTATATATATGTACACACACACACCTGGTAACGCAGAAGAGGAAAAAAATAGAATCCGTAACAATAATAAAAAAAATTATTTCTGGTTTAAAAATGATCTGGTTCTCTCCAGGGCGAGCAATTGCACAAATGTCCACTGAGTCTGGTCCAGGGGTTGAGGAAGGGACGGTCTTAATAGGTAAAGGGGATTGCTGCCCCAGTCTCAGGGCCCCAACTCTCGACTCCCCAACCCCATTGCATTTTATAAAACGCTCCTCATCCTCTTGGAATCGGTGGTTTAAAAAAATGTCCATGCAGGGGAGGAGAGCCCCTTGAGGAAAGGAAGGTGGCCACCTGGGGGGCCCTTTGGTGCAGGCGCAGAGGTGTAGGGGAGGGGAGGTGCCGAAGGCTCACACCGAAATCTCATAGGTGGTGCCACCTACTCCTGACACTTTCTTGACTCCTCCCCTTGTAGGGCTACTGAGAGGTGGCTGGCCTGGGCCAGGGGAAGCTGAGCCTATACTCTTGGGCTGCCCATTGGACTTGCTGTAGGCGGTCTTGAGCTGTACTTCATCTCTGGGAAGAAAAGAAAGAGAGGTGTCAGGAACTGGGACACAAAACACAGAAAGGGGAGACAGTTTTAAAAGTTTGGGGGGGGGAAATAATGTACTTTTCTCCATACATACTTTTTTTAGTGTGATGAATAACTTAATTAAATGATTGTACTTAAATATGCTTTCTTATCAAAACATTCCCTTTTGTTTTATTGCACTGCTTGAAACAAGCCTGATTCCCTATCTCCTATTTATTTCTTCTCTCCAATAGCAGCTATCTTGTATATTTACACTCAAATTTTTAGGAGGACAGGATTAAGAAAAAGTATTAAACTTCAGTCTCTTAACAGGAATGGCCCATGAAAGCAGCTGGAGTGAAAATGAAAATGAAGAGCTATCCACAAGCAGGACAACCCTGCGTCCATTTGCACTAATAAAAGGGCAGTCCTGATGCCTTCTACAGGGCAGGATGCTAATTATAAGTTCGCTGAAGGCCAGGATGGACTAATACTTACTTGGGTGTCAGTAACGGCTGCAAGGCCACTTCTTCAGTCTCAGAGACACCAGGTTGGGCTTTTTGGCTGCTATAAGACATGGATCGGCCCAGGTATGGAGCAGTTGGGCCTGATTCAGGGGACCCCAGTCCCCGGCCCCTTAGTCCATCTGGCTTGCCAAATCGGGGCACAGCTGGGCGTCCCAATGGAGTCTTGCCCAAGGGTGACCTCTTCGAATCATCTGAGGAGGAACTAGTACGAGGGGCATGGCCTGAGCCTGGTGTCGACTGAATGCCGGAGTCCCCCAAGCCTGGTTCTTCCTCTCGACCTGGGAGTGGGGGTGACTGGCGTAGCAGCTTCTCTCGTTCCTGGAGGGAGGCCACAATATGGCGCGACAGATTGTCGTACCGGACTGGTGAGGGCTCTTGATGTGCTGGGCCACTTGGCACCAAATGTGGGTGCCTCTCAGCTTCCCGCTGTTGAGCCAGCCGGGCTGACAGGAAGGGAGAGGTGTAGCCTAAAGGTGTGTCTGGCTCAGGCCCTGCCTGCACTGACTCAAAGTCAGGGCTGTCGGAAGGAGTGAGCAGGCTGTCATAAGATAAACTTCCATTGCGTGTCTGGTTAGCCAGGCTCTTATAGGAGGTGGAGGTTGTGCCCTCTGAACGGATGGACTGCAACTGGCCCAGCTCAAAGCCTGTGCCCTGGGCCGACTTGAGGCTGGAGGAGCGTGAACCACTGGACAGTGGGTCGAAGTGAAAGCTTTTGCCAAAAGTGGGAGAGCGGAAGCTCTCTGGCTCCAGGCTGGGTTCTGACCGGTAGCTGGGATGGCGGCTGCTCTCTGCAATTGAAGTTGGCTCCTTCAAGCTGTCACCACGACTCAACTGGGGGAGAAAATAAAGCAGGCTCTTAGTGCTGCTCCTCATGTGACAGATACCAGGTCCCAGAGCCCAAGGAGTCCCTCAAAAATGGCCTGTTACATGCCAGCAATGTTTAGAACGTTTGTATGCATTATCTTGTTTAACCCCTAAAGCAAATCTCTGAGTTAGTACAAATAATACATTTTAAGATGCAGAAAATAAAACTTAAGTAACTTGCTTGTGATGGGTTTGAACTTAGGTATGACAATCAGTGCTTTTATCTATTTTGCTTCCTTGCCCCCCTTTAATGAAGTAACAACGAGATTCAATCCCACTAACACAGTGGTCGGCAAACCGTGGCTCACGAGCCACATGCGGCTCTTTGGCCCCTTGAGTGTGGCTCTTCCACAAAATACCACGTGCGGGTGCGCACGTACAGTGCGATTGAAACTTCATGGCCCATGCGCAGAAGTCAGTTTTCAGCCTGGGCGAGTCTATTTTGAAGAAGTGGCGTTAGAAGTGGGGGGGGTCGGTCGGTCGGGCAACGGGAGACACGGCGTAGGCGGGCCGCGGGATACGCAGCACGGGGGAGGCACGCACAATTCATGCACGAGTTGAGGATGGGAGAGCTGGAAGGGGTCGACCTCAGTGAACGTACCTCAATCAGATTGAGGATGTTTTTAGCAAAGGCCAGCTTAGGAGTACCCTAATTATATACAATGTACCTGCCTATATAGTTTAAGTTTAAAAAATTTGGCTCTCAAAAGAAATTTCCATTGTTGTACTGTTGATGTTTGGCTCTGTTGACTAATGAGTTTGCCGACCACTGCACTAACACCTACAATTAGTAAAATGCCTTTGATTTTCTTTTCTTCCCTCTGCCTCTTCTTTCCCTTCTCCCAATCTTCTTCCCAGAACAAGTGGCATATTTACAACCCTCCTACTTAGGGAGAACCCAGTACCTTGGCGCTGGAAGAGTGAGGCATGGCGGCTGATGTGCTGCTGCTACTGTAGCCTGGCCGATACTTGTACATGGTAGGTGTGGGGGGGCTGTCCTTGCTCAACAGGCTGCTGTCTGTGGGGAAAAAAAGGCCCAGAGGAACCACTTTACAAGCTATGCTCTTAACCTAGGTAGAGTTCCTTAAGGTAGAGGAGAGAACAAGGTAGGAATAGGTATACGCAGCCAAGGGAACATGAATTTGTTGAAATCAAGACTAAAGACTCCTATTAATTCAGATCTCAGTGAATATACCAAACAGGATGCTCTCTGTCTAAAGCTGACAGTTCCCCCACAAACATCTAATTCACTGCCAGTAGCTAAGTGGTATCCCCTTTCTCCCAGCTGTTCAAAGTAGTGGCTCAAGTGCCACCTATTGGGTGTTCTCAGCTACAGCAAAAGCATGATCTAGCCCTTGCCTGTGTCTGCGCTACAATTCAGTCACCTTCTCACTCCTGCTGCCCTTACCCTCAGTAGCCAGATTGAGGTGTGTTCGTAGCCCTGTATAACGGCTCAGGTCCGGCTTAGGAGGAGGTGGAGGTTCAGCATCTGCGGACTGGCTCTCTGTAATCTCCAAGCTTCCTTTAGACTGGATAAAAGAGGGAAAATCAGGGCATTAGGCAATTCACAAGTATTAAACTGATAACAGAGGAGTGTTGGAGAGTCAGTTATATATTTCTAAACGGACTGGAAGACAAGGGACAAGAGTTAGTTTGAGAATGGTACTGGATTAAAAAAAGTTTTCCACAAGAGTTTAATCCTGCCATTTATTTGTGGGTTGGTTTTTGTTGTTGTTAATCCTCATTTTGAGGTTATTTTTCCATTGATTGTTGTGTAGAAGGGCAGGAGGAAGAGGGAGAGAGAAACATCACTGTGAGAGAGACATCGATTGGTTGCCTCCCCCACGTGGGATCGAACTGCAACCCAGGTGTGTGCCCCTGACCAGGCATTGAACCCCTGACCATTCGAGCACAGGCTGGCCTGGGCGTTGTTCATTTTTACCATTAACTACTTGAGTTCCAACCACCTGCAAGCTACTATTTTAAGTCCTATGAAGACATGGAAATGAATGGACTCAATTTATAATGTCACTAAATTACAATCTAATGGAGACAAGATATATATTTT